CGCCCGCCGCGCTCGCCCCTGCTCCCCGCCAGCATCACTTGTCCCGCGGCCGCGCTCCGACAACAAAAGCGGAGGATGCTGCAGCTGGGCAAGGTCAGGACCTTGCTCTGAAGCCGGGCGGCGGCGCGCACGCCTTTCCCCCGACTGAGGAGCTGTCTTTGGCTGCGGGTGCATGTTCGCCAGGAAGCAGTCGGGCGCCGCGCCGTTCGGTGAGTTGCCTTCGCTGAGCTGCTGGAGCCGGGCGCATCCTCCGGGCGTCGTCCTCCTGCTTACCTCCGGTGGGGGTTGGTCCTTTGCCGCCGGCCGGGCCAGGGGTGGTGGTGGCGGCGGCTGAGGGGTGCTGTCTGCCTCCGGGGAGGACTGTGATCGCGCCGGGTCCCCTTTCGGAAGACTGCTCTGCCCAGAACGGGGTCCGGGGCCAGTGTCTTTCTTGGAGCGGTTACCAAGTGGCTTCTCCGCGTGCTCCCCTCCCTGCTACCCCTCTCCCCCGGAGGACGCGTATATAGGGCAACACCGACTGCTCCCCGCCACCCTCCAGAGCAACCCGGTTGCATTCATGACGTCCCTAATATACGGGAGAAGAGGGGGTGGGGGTGGGGAAGACTTCCTTCCAGTCTTTTGCCCTTATGTTCAATGTCATTACGATGTTTGGCTAGAACAAAATGGAAAGACTTGGTCATATGCGTACATGGCCGTTTCTTCAGTCTCCCGCTGCTCGCCAGACCCAGACCCCTTTGGTCTATATTTAGCGTTTCCGAGGACGCATTTTCAGAGGGATTCACAGGCTTCCGGGGCTTCTCTGCCCTGACAATAGATAGCGAGGCTCTGGAAAGCGCTGCCTGACAGCCAGGTTTGGCAAGGGTGCTTGTGCTTGGGAGATCCGCGCAGCGATATTTGGGTGACTCGTAATTAATGGCTGAAAGCAAAGCTGCGTTTCGCTCTCCTCCCACCCGACCTTCCTCTTCTTCTGGTGTGTAATGTGTTTTTATCGATTGCTACTCAGCAGGTTTGAGCCACTCTGTTCAGAATAAAGTCGTTAGGAAGGAGGTACAACCTCCTTGGTCTTAGGGTGGGGGTCGGAAAATAGACTTGGGGGGCTTAGGGGGTGTGTATCTCTGTATTTTCCACAAAGAGCCACTTATTTCCCAAATGCCCAAAGTTGCGTATCACTGTAAACACCGGGGTAATGAAGGGTGTGGAAGAAGACGATAATGGGGGAGGCTGTGCTTGCAAGGGGGTTTGTAGTTCCCTCATTTGAACTGATCTGATCTGCTTTAGCTCTGCGAGGCTTTATAAATATGCATGCCTGATGTTCTCAAACAAATATGTTGGCTTAGAAAAGAGATATGTAATGAGCAAAAACCAGGCCTGATAAGCATGACGGACAGTTCACTTTTAGGAACTGTGTGACTGATATGTAAGGTGGTGGGAATTTTCTGCATTGACTTCCATGAAAATGGGGAGGTGTTGCCATGCCTATGAGTTACCTCATTGTGCGCCCTTCCACTGACGGTAGTTTAGTTCATGTCTTCTGGTGGGGATGAATCTACATAATTAGAAGGCTCCCCAGTCAACACTACTAAAAACCCTATGAAAGACTGTTTGATATGACTCCTTTTGGATTGCCGAAATAGATCTGTGCATGATTTGGGGGATCCGATCTATGGGAAGTATGACCAATAGGGGCAAGAATCTTAGTGTATGGACTAGCTGCTTTCAACTCCCGGATGTCTCTTTCTTTAGTGTTTCTCTGTGCCAAACAGAATCCATTGTTAATGTTGAACAGTATGCTTTCTGGTCTGTGGATCGCAAGGTCTCAGGGCTTGAACGAAGATGGCTGTGTTTGGAATTAGTTGTTGAAAATTTAGAAGGACTGTAATTATACCAGTAACAAGTGAGCACGGTGGGCACTCTACCGCCAGAGGCTTCACTGCTCAAGTTAAGGGAGTGTGTGCTTCTTTCTACCACGATGCTATACTTTCACCTTTATCCACATTTCGGGAACTTTCCAAGAGCGCTTGGAGCACACTGTTGCAGCCCTTGCATTGTACAACTGTACAGTTTCTCTCAGGAGCATGCCTCGGAAGCAGGAGGAGGAATGCCGTTCTCCCTCGTTTCCTTCCCTCTCTTCAAGTCTAGTGTTTCAGTCTGAACCATGGTTCTTAGAGACTAGTTGACACCGCTGTGTGGCCGTGTGCACCTTCCGGGAGCAGGTGCTGGCATGAGGCTTTTATGCCGTACTGTGGGTTGGAAACGATAGCGCCCAACTGAATGGCAGTTACAGCAAGTGCACGAGGTGGTTGCTGTAATGAACCTGCCCTAGTCTTGTTGAAAGGGGTTATTTAATTTTGTATGTGTTTGTGCAGTTGTAAAACCCAGTCATTGTAGATGTCACTAATGTTTGCATTGTTTATAATAAAAGTCACGCGCAGTCGAATTACAGCATTACCAGCCACTTTGTATCTTTCACAATACAATAGAAGCCACCAGTTCTTCCTCCCAGTTCAGTAGTTCATCACAGAGGGGAAAAAAATGAAATTCAAATAATATTAGTTGGAAAGAAAAATTTGTAGTTTTGTTCAATATTTTCTAAGAATACTATCGCTTTCATAATGGGATGTAAAATTGAAAAATAAACTTAGAGTATTCTCCAAGTATCTATCTCTTCGTGCACGTAATTGAATGGGTAGTGCCTCTCCCCAAAATGTGACCCTTTGATGTCGGACACACATGTGGAATTATTAAACAGTTTTGCATAGTGCTCTTGTGTTTAGACAGGTTCTTTTTATAAAGGAAAACCATCACTTTTAAGTTGGAAATGATTTATAGTAATTTGTTTATAAAATCACATACTTTTTGTACGGATGGGTATATCTTGTTGTAACAAGCCAACTGAAACCAAAATAGGAAATGCTACACATCTCAGGCTTCCCCAGAATGCACCCCTTGTCCTCCCCACTATGAACAGAATATGGACACACTTCTTGGTGGTTTCTCTTTAGGAATGGTGCTGTCCCTTTTAATGGAAAGTTGGCTTGTGTTCCTCTTCCTGACATAGTTTTCACTCTTAAGATTCCACATAGTTGAATGTATTTAAGCTCAAATTCAAACTATGAATATTATGCAAACATGCATTGCATAGTTATTTTATTTAAACCAGTAGTTTGGTTGAAGGTGTTGCACAATGGTTTTTTGCTGACTGGGCTTATGAGTAAGTAAACCTTAGATCCAAATTTTCCCAGTGGCTTGCAAGAGGGTTGTCATTGTCCACATTCCAAAAGTGAAGTTCTTCGATGGCTTCATGAGGTGTGTGTTGTTGTGCGTGAAAAGTTAATTTCAGTAAAACAGTTCATGGTTCTTGATGCTGGCTTCAAGTTTATCTGATTACATGCCAAAGTAGTAGCTTTTTATATGACTGTAAAGTATTAAACCTGCCATACATAAATAGTTTCCATCTCATTGTCTGCCAATCCAGCCTACTGATTAATAAACTGCCTGGTTAGGTTTAATGAATCCAATTATGTTCCCAAACAGTACCTCCAACACAGGAAACTCATAGAAATATTTTACCATTCTGTGATTTTAGTTGCTTAAATTATGACTCATAACAAAATAAGGGTTGACGATAATTCAAGTTCTTCATTTGTTAAATTACATGGCAGGTGAGGTGATTTCAAGGTCTTTATCTTGGCTAATTGATTTGTAGGGAATGGCTCATAGACATTAGGATATTGAAGTTATGTTCAGTATCAATTGTTTTTTGATGGGTTACAAAAAATGACCAAATAAATGAGACAGTGAGTGACTCCTAGAAACTTCTGTATCACACATGCATCCAGCCATGTCTCTGGTCAAGTTGTCTGCTGAAAGCTAAACTTATTTTTTATGATTATATATATTACATATTACAATACATACCACTATTTCAGAATATTTTTATAACAGTGACACACAGGGTATGTAGGGCATGTTGCAGGGCATGGCTCAGTTTTCCTGTATACCTGCAATGAAAGTTATTAGAAAATTGAATTTCCATAATGTAACACTGTCTCATATCTCTCCTAATAGAGAGAACACTGGCTTTGAGTGAATGTCGTCTGTTGTCTTTTAGCTGCTTGCCTATGACCACTTTTGCGGTCATTAGACTCGGCTTATTTATCTGTATAATGGGTCCAGTAAGACAACCTATCACAACATTTTGATTTGAATATAAACTATGTGAATAAATGGCTTGTAATTTTTTACTTATTAATTAGGATGTATGCTTTAGAATAGATTCTAGGCATTAAATGATTTCCATCCTCCCTATCTAAGATTAGACATTATTTACTATTATTTTATAGAGAGACGCTATTGTAATATTATATTTTGTAGATTGACATGTAAATGTAAATGACAAATTTTCTCTCTTGCGATATATATTTCCTATTACTTATTGATCTATATAACCATTATAGTATAGGGAATTAATTTATATCTTCTAGCACTATTTCTTTAAATGATTGCCATATCCCAGTAATCAGAAATTTCAAGACTTTGATATTTCTTATTGTTAATGCCAGCCTCCTGATTAAGATCAAATTTTCTACAGAGATTAATGTTGTACAGTGAATATTATAGACTGTTTAATCAGCATCACTCTGTGAGGTTAGATATTAACCAGCTGCTCAATTTAAAGGCAGAGAGCTCCATTCTCAGCAGAAATCATTGTAAGGGAATAAAAGGAAACAGCAACAAAAACTATCTGGAAAGGAGACCACATCCTCTGATGTCATTGGAAAGGGAGCCGAGGGTGCGCATTGGCGCCATCTTGAACATCAGTCATCACTGTCATGTATTCCCTCATCCTAGGGATCTGCAGTGAAGACCTTGTGGGCTCTGCTTCCTCCTGGCTCCTTTGGCATCACCGAATTCCCCGAAGTCGGTGCAGCTGTGACCTTCTGTAGCCCAAGTTTTGTGGTCACTACACTTGGATATGTAGTAAAATTTGTTAGAGACTGTGACCCCTGAGACTGACAGGAGAGACTAGCTTATCTTCAGTAGAGGAAGCATTTTGGCAATCAGCATGGTTATTTATATTCATGTTTATGTTTTGTTGTAATAACTGCCAATTATGTTTTCAGAGGAAAATGCATGTTAAGTAAGAGGCATTACTGGCTTTATTTTTGCTTGTTTTTGAGCAAAGTAAACAGGTGAGCCAGTTATGGTT